CTCGCAGTCCCCTGGCCTCGGCTGCCCCAGCGCCCGTCCCCCGGGACCCCTGTACCCGGCGCAGTGCGGGCTCCATGTGGCCAACCCCGACCGACTGGAGAGCAAGTGCGCAACACTGGCCGCACCGCACTATTCTGGGCCGGGCCGTTGGCGCCCGGCCCTCCCCAGATCGGTTTCTCTCTGATTGGGTGTCAGGCAGCAGGAGGGAGGGCCCCACAGGCTCAGCTGCTCCCGCCCAGAGCCTGGGGCTGGGTGGGGAGGGCAGGGGGGCACCTGGAATCTTGAGGCCTGGTCCTGGGCTCCCTCCTGGGTCTTCAAGGACAAACTTGAAGGACCTTGCTACGGGGGAGGTGGCTTGGAGCACTGGGGGGCACTGGGGGGGGGGGCCCGGTGGGAGGAGGCGGGCTCTCGGAGTCCTGGGTTCCTTCTCATCTTTGTCAGGTGCCAAAGGAGGGAAAATGGAGGCGAGTTGAGCTCAACGTTCTTCCTCTTAGAAACTTCCGTCGTGGGTGGTGCTGGAGTTAGAAAGCGCAAGTTGGAGCCAGCGGGGAGGCTGGGGCCAAGGGGTTTGTGGGAGGTCCCAGGAGAGTGGCCATTGTGTGTCCAGATGTCCCCGTCTGAGTCCCAGGAGCCTGTCCCTTTCCCTGCTGGAGGAGTTGGAGTGGGATGGCCGGGAAGGTGGAGAGCTAGGAGAATCACGGCGAAGTTGTGCGGTGGGCTCGAGGGCCCAGGGTGAGAGACATCTGTTTCTACCAGTGGTTCAGAGGTGGGTCCCAGAGTGTGGGAGCCCCGGTCCTAACATCCCTCTGTGCGTGCTGTCGCTACATCTCCTGGTGCCAACAGGATCCCAGCCCGGCTCTGGTGGCTGCCCACCCCCCTTCCTTGGCATTCCTGGGGCCTGAGTCAGTGTCCAAATCGGGAATGCTGACCCAGCTGCTCTAGCTCCCCTCTCCCTGCCCGCCCCTCCTCTCTTTCTTCCAGCCTCTTCCATCCCAGTCTCGGGCCCTGGAGTGGACACTCAGTAATGGATTACTGGCTTTCTTGCTGGATGTGCCAAACACATTTCTCTTCACCCCTCAAAGCCCCTGTCCTGCCTCCAGGGAGGGCGGGGGAGAACGGGTCAGGGAAGGGACTTTCCTTTCCGTGTGTGTCTTGGGTAAGTACTGGGGGTGAGTGCAGATCTCCTTCTGCAGGATCCCTGTGGCCTATTCCTGTCTTGTCCCAGAGGATGGATGTCTAAGGCACAGCAAAGGGGACGCCTCAACTGGTGGAAGGATCAAGTGGACCATCCTTGGAGAGACGTGATGCATCAGAACTGGCAGGCCTCTACCCTCCCTTAAGCTCCGGGCCACCTTAAAACCAAGCCAGATACAGAACAGGTGCAGAACACACCATTGCCTTCTCCTGCGATGCTCCATTCCCCCTCTCCCCCAGGCCTGTTCCATCTACAGGGCCAGTAGGAGGGCTCTTCTTTAAGACAGTCTTCCCTGATGGCCTCACTCTCACGCACTGATCTCCTTATAGAGCAGGCTCTGTGTGCCTATCTCAGGGCGCACGGAGCTGACATTTACATAACTATTCACGTGGGAAGGTCCTGTATCTCCAAGTAAACAGTGGGCACCTTGATGACCAAGATATTTTGGCTGGATGTGATGGAAAGCCTGTTTTACGGTCAGATGGACCCGATTAAAATTCATGTTCTGCCGTTTGTTTGCCATATGACCTTAAAAAGCATTGCTTGTTTTCTTTGAGCCTGTTTCTACCAATGTAAAATGAGGATGAAAACATTCTGTGGCAGACTGCCAGTTGCTTCCCACCATCTATTTTCCTCTTCTTCTTTTAGTAGTAAAATCACTTGAATGTTAGCTGGAGTGGCTGCTGGTAATAAAGACTCAATCTTCCTTGCAGCTAAATGAGGCCTTGTGACTAGTTTTGGCCAAAGTGATGTGAGTGGAAGGGATGTGAGCAACTTCCAGGTCAGGCCTTAAAAGAAAGAGGCGTGGTTCCTCCTCTTCCTTTTCCCCTTCTGCTGGCTGGAATGTTGATGTGATGGCAGGAGCTAGAGCAGCTATCTTGTACCCAAAGTGGAAGATGCTTGTTAAAGGTTTCAAAGTCACCCTACCAGCTTTAGACTGTCTACAGACTATTTTATATGAGAGAGAAATAAATTTTCTTGTTTAAGTCATTCTTAAAGTGGGCCTTTGGTACAGCAACCAAACATGCATCCTAATGAATGCAGAATTAGTATCTGTAAGTGGCACTGCTCTAAAAAGTCCAAAGCAAGTGACATTGGTTTAGAGACTGGGCAGCAGATAGCAAAGAAAAGTATTGTATCTTGGTAAGGTGGTGACCATTGTTATATTACAGCAAAACATATGGTGTTGCAGCCATCTATAATGCCTTAATAGAGCCTATAAGTCACAGAAACTGGATGGAAACACTCAGAATGTTAGTGTGTCTGGGCTGTTGCTTGCAACTACTAGCAAAGACCTACAGGAGAGGTGCTCTCAGGCTGGTTATAAGAGGTGGTTTGGAAGAGGCAGCCTTCGCCAGGGTTGTACCTGTGGTTCCAAACCTTTCCCAAGCACACTTTGTTCAGCAACAGTGGGAACTGGCCCAGTGGGCAGAATAAGGGAGGCTCCCTTCACAGCCAAGCATATTTTTTCAGATGGCCTCAAGATAGCCACCAGCAGTTTGAGAGAGAATAGAAAGTACACCACATCCAGAGTATCAGGCACAGAAATTATGGCTCTGTGAGACCATTGGCTGTGGTTACTCAAATATGGAACCAGTCAGAAGCCTTTTAAGATTTTGAGGGTGGGAATGCCTGGGTGGCTCAGTCAGTTAAGCGTCTGCCTTCGGCTCAGGTCATGATGCTAGGGTCCTGGGATCGAGCCCCTCATTGGGCTCCTTGCTCAGCAGGGACCCTGCTTCTCCCTCTCTCTCTGCCACTCCCCCTGCTTGTGTTCTGTCTCTGCCTCTCTCTCTCTCTCTGACAAATAAATAAATAAAATTTTTTAAAAAAAAGATTTTGAGGGTGTTGGGGGCACCTGGGTGGCTCAGTTGGTTAAGTGTCTGACTTCGACTCAGGTCATGATCTCAGGGTCCTGGGATTGAACCCCCTGTTGCGCGCCTAGCTCAGTGGGGAGTCTGCTTGTCCCTCTCCCTCTCCCTCAGCCCCTCCCCCGACTCAAGCTCTCTCTCTCTCTCTCTCTTAAATAAATACATAAAATCTTTTTTTAAAAGATTTTGAGGGTGTTGTATTGGCAAAGAAACTACAAACCTGGTCACCAAAAGCTGGTTTGACCAGCCTCCCAGATACGCGCCAGCAGGAAGAGGTCTATAGAAGCTGTAAGGTCGGGCACCTGGGTGGCTCAGTTGGTTAAGCAACCGCCTTCGGCTCAGGTCATGATCCCGGAGTCCTGGGATCGAGTCCCGCATCGGGCTCCCTGCTCAGCGGGGAGCCTGCTTCTCCCTCTGACCCTCTCCCTTCTCATGCTGTTTCTCTGTCTCTCTCTCTTTCTCTCAAATAAATAAATAAATAAAATCTTTAAAAAAAAAAAAAAAAGAAGCTGTAAGGTCTGCAAGGACATGTTCTCCAGGGCAGCCTTAGAGGATCCTGGGTAAGGGATAACTTCCCAGGAGGCAACACCAGACTCCGCATAGGCTAATGGAAAGGGGAGGTCCTCCCCAGAGAGCAGAACCAGTGGCTGCCAGAGGCATCACCCAAGAACTTACTCCTCTGTGGAGAAACAGCTTTGCAATTCCTGCCCAGCTGGATTTGGTAATTGATAAGATCCAGTGACGGCTAGGTGTTTGCCTTTCTTTCTTGTTCCAAGTGGATTTTTTTAAAAAATGTTCATGTGAACTCAATTTAGCTAACATATATGGTATTATTAATTTCAGAGGTAGGATTTAGTAATTCATCAGTTGCGTATAACACCCAGTGCTCATTACATCAGGTGCCCTCCTTCATGCCTATCACGGGTGGGCACATAAGGCTGGCAACAGACCTGTCCACAGAGACCTGGTGGGCCAGAAAGGATGGGCATGATATATTCAGCGTGCTAAATGGGGAAAAGATGCAGCCAAGAATACTTTATCCAGCAAGGCTGTCATTAAGAATAGAAGGAGAGATAAAGAGTTTCCAGGACAAACAAAAACTAAAGGAATTTGTGAACACCAAACCAGTCCTGCAAGAAATATTAAAGGGGACCCTTTGAGCAGAGAGAGAGCCCAAAAGTAACACAGACCAGAAAAGAACAATCTACAGGAACAGTGATTTTACAGGTAATAATACAACGGCACTAAATTCATATCTTCCGATAATTACTCTGAATGTAAATGGACTAAATGCTCCAACCAAAAGACACGGTATCAGAATGGATTAAAAAACAATACCCATCAATATGCTGCTTCCAAGAGACTTAGTTTGGACTCAAAGACACCTCCAGATGGAAAGTGAGGAAGTGGAGAACCATTGATCGTGTTAATGGACACCAAGAGAAAGCTGGAGTAGCCATCCTATATCAGACCAACTAGATTTTAGACCAAAGACTGTAATAAGAGATGAAAAAGGACAGTATATCATAACAAAAGGGTCTATCCAAGTGGATGCTTTAACTGAGTTTACCTGTTCCTCCTCCACTGTTGTCTACGGAGAGTAAGAGGAGCAGGTTATCTGTCTTTTAGTTTACAGGTCACTAGACCATCGGATCCCATCCACACCTCATCCTTCAGAGATCCTGGGCTCGGAGCTGGTGCGGTGCCCAGATGCCTCCCTTCCGGGGCTGCTGACTGTGTTCACTGCTTGGGGTGGCCAGATGGTGGGCTCTGACAGAGCAGTATCTACTCTCTCCTACTCTCTCCTACTAACCCCCACAACTTTAGCCAAGTGCAAGATTATATTTCCCAGCTTCCTTTGCAGATAGTATGGCCATGTGACTAAACTTGGCTAATGGGATCTGAGCATCAGCATTATATGCAGACTTAAAGAATGACCTTAGAAGGAAGGGACAGATTGTCTTCTTCCTATTGACTGGAATTCTGATACAATGGTCAGAGCTGAGGCACCGTTTGAACCCAGTGGTGGAAGATGCAGGTTGGAAATGACAGAACCTCTCCCGCCCCTTGT